GCGAACGCATCTCTGCCGAAAGAGCATACGAGAAACGCGATCCATGCTCCAGCAGCAACAACAGCAGCAGCAGCAGCAGCAACAGCGGCGACGGCGGCGGCAGCGACGGCGCGGACCAAATCGATTACAATCAGCTAAGAAGCATCCTTGATTTCTTTCTTGATCGTTCTCGCAGGTGGCTCGAACTAAGTCGCGAATTGAATCGAATCGAGGAGTCGCAAATGCCTAAAACACAACATCGTGGGATGCTCTCTGGCCACTAAAATTACTGCTCAACTAGATTTATCTAATTTTTTGATTATATAAATAAGTATAGGCTATAACAACGTAACGATAAAATTCGATGCGGCGGATAATCGCAGGTTTCTCGTATATAATATTCTACGTCAGGGAATAATCTGAGAATGATTCTTCGACGATTATTTCCCGTAACAGTCAGTATTCGCGAGAAATACGTGATTTCGCGAGCGAGTAAGAGAGATTCACATCTATTTACTAATTTATTACTTTACATATCTTTCCTACGCTTATACATCTAATATATATATATATATATATATAAATATATATATATATAAACATATGTGATACTCATTATCGTTTTTACTGTTAAAAAAATATCGTTCCATTTCTTCTATATCTATTATCTAGATAGCCGCAGTAAAATGATGACGACGTGAAACAAGTTTTCTACTTCGAAACTTGTCGCAATTTTGCTCGAGTTTGTTGCAGATTCTGCGCAGAGCTTTAGTCGCATTTTGTCAGCTGCGAATCTTTATATCTTCGTCAGAATTCGTTGCACGTAGCCGAAGCAAAATAATATAAGTAAAGTCGGCATAAGCGAGCGTAATACTCAATTACGTCGAGGGATGACAATCAGTTTTGCTCACCTATTTATATGTACTTATTTTACGAAATAATATCACGATGTACTCGTATTGATCGATTCAGCTTATCTATCTTAGGAGGAAGGCGGATCGTTTGATCTTTAATCAAATTTCGCAGTGGCGCAAGATTTTTAAATAGAAATAATCTTCATATATATCCTTTCTTATATATATGTATATCTTAAGCTAAGCCGTCTCTCCAATTTTATTCAAAAAATACATAATACATAATTCACGGGATGTATTTGGAACGAGGGTGCTCTTCAATGAATCGCGCGTTATTGCATTATTAATTCTTCCAATTTAAGAGAACAAGGCCTGTACTTAAACAATTTCTGTGCCAAATAGTAATAATTTAGAAAATATGCGTTTCAGGATGTAACTTCGTGCGAATATTTTCAAATAGATATTAATTAGATCTATAAAGCACACTTCCATTTTAAGATACACCCCGTGCATAATAATGATGTTAACTAAAAAACAAAAACGAAAAAAGGAGCAAAAGAGCAAAAGATGAGAATCACAATTACGATTATTGGAAACAACGACGATAATAACGATTATGGTAAACGTACAATTTTAGATTATATATGTTTATAACAGATGTAACGTTTAATTAAATCAAATTTGTAATATCAATGTTTGTATTGCTTTGAAATCTGGTCTAACTACCCCATGTATGAAGACTAGAATTTTCTTTAGAAATACTTAATATTGATAGTTTAAGGGTTTCAACGAGTTAAACTTTCAGGGTAACAGAACTTTATTTTCCATCTAATTATTTACAACTTTATCAACAATTATTAGGATAAAGTGATAGCGATTTCGAATATGATACAATTTTGTGCGAAATAAGAATTGTATCTAATTTTCAAGATTCAAATTTGATAAATATGTAGAGAATACTAAATTCCATATGAGATCATTTACCAAATTTGAATCTTAAAAATTAGATTCAAATCTTAATCAGTGAGATATTAATTCGTATGGATATATTCGTATGGATTCGTATGAAATGACATTTCGTGGCACATCTATACGAAATGATATCACATTGCATTAAGATTTGAATTTAATTTTTAAGATTCAAATTTAATAAATGATCTCATTGTATGGAATTAAGTAAGTACTCTCTACATTTATCAAATTTGAATCTTGAAAATTAGATACAATTCTTATTTCGCACAAAATTGATAAAATGACATTTCATGGTACATCTATACAAAATAATATCACATTGCATTAAGATTTGAATAATTTTTAAAATTCAAATTTGATAAATGATCTCATTGTATGGAATTTAGTACTACATATTTATCAAATTTGAATCTTGAAAATTAGATACAATTCTTATTTCGCACAAACTTATATCATATTCGAAATTGGCATATATGATAGGATTTTATTCTTAATTTTATACAAGGCGTACGATATTCATTTCTCTGTGAAAATCCTCGAGGGACTGTTCCCAGCGCTCCTCGAAATATACCCCTAGCAAGAACTTCACGTTCAATCCGCTACTTATAGACCACGGGAGATAATGATTCAAGTATAATTGCCTCTGTCTGAAATGTTACATGTACAAAATGACATGATAACTATAGCTTTATCGTACAAAGCAGCTCACGAGTTTACCTAGGACGTAGTCGACTAGCTCCAAATATTGCACCGGTTATGCACATCGGCAAACGCAGCTGCAAAGCCTCTACCCACTTAACCGATACCTCTCCTAGCATCGTCGTCGGCATTAGGAGCATAGCGTGAAAGATATCGTGCACCTCTCGATATCGTTGCATCACGTAGGCCAGCTCGATATCGTCGACGAATTGCACCGCGAGTCTATCGTCGGGCGAGACTTTCTGCAATCATACAGCTCGCTCAGGAAAACGTTCCATTACATTTTTTGTTTGTTTGTTTATCGATTTTTGTCTTACGTTGTCGTCCAAGAAATCGCGATACGTTCTGCCCACGGTTCCTGGCGGCAGGTCTTTGAGGTAAGAGAGGTCGACGGTGGACGTGTTTACGCGCGGCTTTTGCGCGAGTATACGTTGACCCTCGCTCGTATCCTTCATCTGTCGATGACAGTGCACGAGGGCGCTTGTACCGGTAGTTTCCCCGAGACACGCTATCATGTCACCTCGATACGGATTCGCCAACGACACAGCCGCCGAGCCCATCGTGAGAAGCACACGCTGCAGGGGGGATAGGGATACATGGTGCTTGGCATAATCCTCCAGGAACGCCTCGCAGGCGGTCGCGAATCGGCCTGAAACCGAGCGAGGAAAGTAAGAAGGTCTGACAAACCCGTGTGTTTGTTGTCTGTTAATAAATAAAATTTATTTCCATTAAAATTTCCGTTTGTGTGTATGTACAAGATTAGCAGACGTAGATTACAGACTAACTGTATATGGCGACGATCATACCCTAATTGATCTCGAATATTTAGGTATGCCCTAGTTAACATAATACTTATCTGGTAACACGATAATTTTTTACTTTGGTACATATTACAGTCGGGTTGTCGATATTATTTCACGCCGCTCCCTTGAGCCAAGTTGAGCCAAGTTGAAAAAGCACTTTGTGACACGAGGAACAGAAATATTCATAGCAGCTATTGGTGACGTACGCACCACCCTGCCATTGTTCGATACAAAGGAACATGTTGTGTGTGCCTTAACTGATTTGTCTTATACTTAAAAATAAAGCTCACTAGCTCTGTTACACACTAGCTTCCTGAAGTTAAATTATAAATTCTTTGTACAAACGCTTCGTTTTTTTTCCTGTATTATACACAAAAATACATCATCGCGGTCGGGTTCTTATAACGCGAAAGCTTACAATCATATGGCTTGTATCTTACTGGCCTTGGATTCAGTCAACAAAGCGTACTTTGGCTGCAGACTCTCTTTCTTACGAAACGTCACCCAGGTGTATACTAAGCTACCTATCACGCTTAAATTCAGTCCTACAAAGTTCAACCACGAAAATATGTAATCCCCGCCGATCACCATGCCGAGATACGTCACGCATATATTTTTCAGGCATCCGATTATGGTGGTCGTCAGCGCGGAGTTGTACAGCGTGCAGAGGAGCGTGCTGTACGACAGTACGAAGCCCATTATGCACGACAGTGCGAACTGCAGAATGAACAGCGGATTCGTCCAGCTGGGGTAATCCAGCGCCAGGGCTATGTCGCCCGTCCACCAGGCCAGCAGGACCGTCGGCCCGAGCATGAACAGAGAATTGTAATACATCAGCCCGTACTTCCCTAACTCCTTGGAATCTAGCTTCTTCTTCATGTACACGCCGTTCGCGGCGGTGAAGAGGTCGTTAAACAGGATAAAGATATAGCCCTCGAGATTGAAGGCGAGATCGTTGAGCGCGGCCACCACCGCGCCCAGGATCATGGTGTAGACGCTCAGCTGTATCGACATGCGCGCCTCGATGCCGAGGATATAGTACTCGGCGATCATCGTCATGAGGATGCTGAACCGCCTGAGGGCGGTGAACATCGGCAGGCTCAGCTGCTTGGTGCCGCCCAGCCCGAATATCATGTTGCCGATGTAAATCAGCGGCAGCGGCCATATCTTGGCGAAGGTCGTCACCTCGAGGCCGGGGTACTCGACGTAGCGCAGCCTCTTGGCGGCGAACAGCACCAGGACCGTCGCGAGCATCTGGCCGATCCCCAGCACTTGGAAGGACGGGAAGCCGTACGACGTGAGGATGGTCTTGTTGACGACCGTTATCATGAACGACGACAGCCCGTAGAAGAACGCCGACGCCACCCGCGCGAACATCGCGTTCGGCTCGTGCTCCGTCATCGTCGTCGGGCGAAGGCAAGGAACGGAGAGCGAGAGGCCCACGGTTTCCCTCTGCCACTCGGCTCGCTCTTTACCCGCGCATACGGGATCTCGTTATCCCGCGAGAGCACCGTTACTGCGATAAACAATTACACACATAGAGGAACCTACGTTTAGATAACCTTATCACGCCGCTTCCGTACATGGCACCGGCGACCGCGGTCGGGCTCGCGGCTGGCTCTCCGGCTCCAGGGTGAGGAAGGCCCCTTCGGCGGCGGTGAGCGCGATCCACCGCGCGAAACGCGAATCGTCAGAGCTCGAGCTGCGTGTGATGCAATCGCAAAGGCATGCTCCTCGCGATAAGAGTCCTCCGCCGCGGTACCGCTGGCACAGAAAAAAACAAACAACGTGACAGGTGTAGGACGGGACGATGGTGGTGGAGCGCTGAAGGCGCGAATTCTTAAGCTAGCAAGCTGGGATCTTCGTCAGCAATAATTACAGCACAATACAGATCCTTTCTTTTTTTTTACATGCACACGTTTCAAAATCGAGCTGACGATTGCAATTGCAGAATTATTTGCTTCGATCTCGGGCGCGTTCTTGGTAACTGAATTTTTTGTGCTATGTATAATTTGCGTATAATTTATATATCCTGTTTTAATTTAAGTGCGCAAAGTACAACATAAAGAATAAATCTTTTTGCTTTTACGACTACTGATTCATGCTATGCAATTATTATTTCTTGCACGCGTCATTACGATTTGCAATTAAACACGGGATAATTGACGCGAATGTGCAAGTGATATTTTTAGGCACTACGTATACGAATCTCGTCCGTTTTGCATTCAGTCCGAAAACGTAAACACACGCCTGTGAAATATTTTACCTCAAATTACGAATTTCCTCAATCGAGATCGTAATCGTTTTTACAAGCGCAATTCAATCGAACAAATCGTGGGACACGAGGAACGTGAGTTCGAGATCTTATATGTTATGTACATTCATCATCCCTCGCGTCACAATGTCGTCTCTTTCAGAGCTAATCAAGTAATCACCACGTTGCATAACCATGCATAACGAATCCACGGGAATCTATCGGAATTCGGAGAATCGTGAATCCATCAATCGGCTGCCACCGGCATGGATGCCGCCATGCTTTTCCTTTCGATCGGGAATCATCGGCGAGTCGTCGTGAATCATCGTGGAATATGGATCTCGGCGATCGGGGCGAAGGGGGAGGAGGGGTTCTGTTCGCCCCCCCCCCCCGCCGCTCCGCGGAGAGCTGAGTAAGCTCCGTCAGCTCCGTGTATCCCTCCGCCGCGGTCGCCATGGCAACGACCGGAACGCGGAACTACTTGCGGAAGTTCGCCCGTTGATCCCGAATCGCCGGCGGTGGCGGGCGACACGACTTTTCCCTGGCGCCGCTCCTGAACTCGCGGTGCGATTCCTCGCGCGCGGCCGACACCGAGCCCCCCGCCAGTCGCGAAATCCGTCCGAGGTCCGCGCGAGGGTGATCCTCCCGTGGAGGTCGAACCAGGCCCCGAGCCAGGTTCGCGTCCCCGCTGCCGCACGTCGACGTTGTGAGCCGAGACGGATCATTCGATCGTTCCTCCTTCTGAAGCCGTCCGCCGGGAAGGGCGAATCCCGGGTTTCCCGATGTAAGTACGCGATGACAGCGTCGCGCGGCCCGCGAATCGGTCGCGCCCGACGACGAGCCGCGCCGCGGAACGCGCGGCACGTCCGCCGAGCTCCCCGCAGAGGAGCAAAACTCGACCGCGACGGGCAGAGTCCCGTCTCGTTTCGCGAACGTTCAATCGATAGCCCGATAGGAGGCTGATACAGGCTGATATTGACCACTTGGAAATTGATTTTTCCGTCGTGTCCGCTTGCGACACGATCGAGTCAGCCTGCAGTGAAATTTTGCCGTGGCTGCCCGCTCGTGACAACCCACGCTTTCGTCTCTATTTCATCTCGTTCGCGATCGAAACCGGCGGTGATGCTCCACAGACATAATAATGCACTGTTCTCTGTACAAAAGAAAAAGAGTCAGTAGGAAATTGCCACTGTCCTTTATGACGATTGATTTTCTTTTGACAAATAAAACACTAACGATGAAGTTATAAAGAGAGATGTATAAGTCTTTAATTTATAGATATTTAATCAAGACAATTTATAGATATTTAATCAGTCTATACTTATTTATCTGTGCTCTTTTGTACATTGTAATATAATTTTTTTAAATCTTTTTTAGCTTAATATCTCAAATTAGTTTGTATCAAATCAAAGTATAGATATGTTATTATATTTATTATATCTAAGATGTATAGGTCTTTAATTTAGATATTTAATCAAGACTGAATCAGTCTATACTTATTTATCTTTGCTCTTTTGTACATGATAATATAATTTTTTTAAATCTTTTTTAGCTTAATCTCAAATTAGTTTGTATCAAATCAAAGTATAGAAATATTATTATATTTATTATATCTTGTAAGATGTATAGGTCTTTAATTTAGATATTTAATCAAGACTGGATCAGTCTATACTTACTTTTTATTCTTTTCTATATGACAATATAATTTTTAAAAATCTTTTTTAAATTAATATCATTATTAGTTCTCACATTATCTCATATTAGTTTTTTAAATTAATATCATTATTAGTTCTCACATTATCTCATATTAGTTTGTATTAAATTATAAACAAATTTATTATATCTATTATTTATTATACTTTTTACTTCATATTAAGCATTTTTTATTTATAAATATTTATTTAGAAAAGTTTGTACAAGCTATTTGTGACAAGCTGAGCTAAATTTATAATTTTTATTGGAAAAGCCTGTACTTAAAGATATTATACTCTTGCTTGTGAAAATGTAATTTTATAATACATGCATAAATTTCTAGGTATACTCGTGACCGAGATCAGAGTAGGGGCCGTCGTGGTAGTACTGTCAAGACAGTGACAAGTACTAGCAGAGACAGCAGCAATAATGGATACGGTGCTAGCAGATTTGGCACACCTAGTAGAGGAAATGCCAATAATGTGCGAGGGGGATTAAAGGGAAAGCAGCCTGGTGGTGGTCTGAAGAAAGTAAATTGGGACCTTCATTCTTTAGAACCATTACGCAAAGACTTTTATAAAGAGCATCCCGCAGTCAGGAATAGGTATTATTAATAATATTAAATTTATTACGAGGTGAAACGTGATGGAATGTGCTTACGAATTTAATTCTGATTTAGATCTAATGAAGAGATAAATCAGTTTCGGGAGAACACGGAAATAACTGTGAAGGGTGATAATGTTCCTAATCCTATACAATATTTCGAGGAGGGAAACTTCCCGCCTTACGTAATGGAGGGTATTCGTAGAGAAGGTTATTCGCAGCCTACTCCAATTCAAGCTCAAGGATGGCCTATTGCTCTTAGCGGCAGAGATCTTGTTGCAATCGCTCAAACTGGCTCTGGGAAGACACTTGGAGTAAACAAAATTAGAAACATATAATATAATAACATTTAATATATTGTAATTCTTGTTAAATATGTATACATATACATACATAATATATATATATATATATATATATATATATATTTAAAACTCTGTTGTTTTTAGTCGGATTTGAACTCGTATATATATACATTTCTTATGTAGCGATCGTGGCGCAAAGAGTTGTGCGTCTGCTTTTGGTGCCAAGACCCGAGTTCAAATCTGACTAGAAACAACGGATTTTTATTCGATCACTACCTCTCGGAAGGAAGCGGCAATCCATCGAGAGTATATATATCTTGCCAATGAAAATCCCTCCTAAATGAGGCTATCTGAATGCAGTGTTAAATTTGCATACATTTTATATAATTTAAAAATTTAAATAATATACATATTATGCAGTTTTTTAACGCTGAATCCAGACAGCCTGATTTAGAAGGGATTTTCATTAGCAAGATATATATACTCTCGATGGATTGCCGCTTCCTTCCGAGAGATAGCGATCGAATAAAAATTGATAAAATCTCAAAAAATGTATTGAACATATATAACATATTTGTAATATTCGTATTTTAATTAATATATGTTGTATAGGTTCGATACATTTTTTGAGATTTTATTTAAATTATATAAAATGTACGTAAATTTATTACAAATAATTGGAGAAATCAAAGTAAAAGCCGTAAGAAAATATTCTAAAAATTCTCTTTAGTTTTATATACATATATCATCTTGGTCTTTTGCTTCTTGTTAGAAGCTTAGTGACCCCTTATTGTATGTCTGTAGTGTGCATTATTTACGATTTACACAGATGTGCAGGATCTACAGTTTTAAATATATATATTTGTAATGTAAAGATATGTTTATATTAAATTATTTTATCTTCTTTTTTTTCTAGTACATTTTACCTGCAATCGTGCATATCATACATCAACCGCGTATAAGCAGCGGTGATGGTCCAATCGTCTTGATCTTAGCTCCAACCAGAGAATTAGCTCAACAAATTCAAGAAGTGGCTAATAGCTTTGGAGAGACGGCAGCTGTAAGAAATACATGTATCTTCGGCGGGGCTCCGAAAGGGCCACAGGCGCACGATTTGGAGAGAGGTATTGAAATATGCATTGCCACGCCAGGTAGACTTATAGACTTCTTAGAAAGAGGAACTACAAACTTGTGTAGGTATGTATAACTCTAAAGTTTCAGTTATAAATGAAAATTGCCTATACATATGGGATTATTTATTATATTATTATACATCATGTAAAGATATTAATTGTATTTATTATTTATTATATACTATATAATGATTAATTATATTAAATTAACCATTTATATATTTTATTTTATTCTTTCATTTCAGGTGTACGTATCTAGTTCTTGATGAAGCCGATCGTATGCTAGATATGGGATTCGAACCGCAGATACGAAAAATAATTGAGCAGATACGCCCCGATAGGCAAGTGCTAATGTGGTCGGCGACGTGGCCTAAGGAAGTTCGCGCGCTCGCGGAGGACTTCTTGATGGATTATGTTCACCTCAATATCGGTTCTCTGACTCTGTCGGCCAATCATAACATCACTCAGATCATCGATGTTTGTCACGAGTACGAGAAAGACTCGAAGCTGTATAGATTACTTCAAGAGATCGGCACTGAAAAGGAGAATAAGACCATCGTATTTGTGGAAACCAAACGTAAAGTGGACGATATCACGAAAAACATTAGACGCGAAGGATGGCAAGCCGTGAGTATTCACGGTGACAAGAACCAGCAGGAAAGGGATCATGTGCTGCAAGAATTTCGCAGTGGAAGAACGTCGATTTTAGTCGCAACCGATGTAGCCGCTCGAGGCTTGGGTATGTAAAAACACTATTCGGCTATTTTTTTTTGTGTAGGCGAGAGAGAGAGTCACGGTTAAACTGGGTATTGGCAACACTTATTGGATTAGCCGGATGATGCGTTGTTAGAGCGAGGTTAGCTGACAGCTATGTACGTAGCGGTGTGTGATGCATTGGAACTTTTTATCATATTTGTCTCGATTGTATTGTAGAGCCGTGTAAAATTGATAACGTTTTAACGATGTGATTTATGTCTTTTTATGTATGCAGTTATACATGCGTGTTGAACAATTTTTTTCAGTTGTCTTTGTTTTGTAAACCCATTTTTATTTTTATTTTTTTTTAATTGTTTTAATTCTTGTAAATAAATCCGTGTTTTTTGTTTTCATGTAAAGATTGTAGAAACAATGTTTTTGTTACTTCAACATTTTTTTCAGTTGGTTTTTTTTTTGTAAACCCATTTTTATTTATTATTTTTTTATTTTAATTCTTGTAAATAAATCCATATCTTTTGTTTCCTGTAAAGATTATAGAAACAATGTTTTTGTTACTTCAATGTTAGTTCGAGTTATGTCTGTACTAAGCATTGGTATATGACTAGCTTCAATGTTGAAATAGTTTTTATTAATTTTGATGTATGTAAGATCAAGGTTCGAAAATGCACACAAGCTACCACTAAGTCTGTCTGCTTTTCTTTTTCAGAGGCACAGAGTACCCTAATTCAACGCGGTGTACTGCCAGTATTGGGCAGACACAGTGACCATTTTATTTTTCTTTACTTATATATAACAATTTCCAGATGGAAAGATAGATGTATATACGGTTTAACTTCTGTTTTAATTTTTTTTTTGTTACGGAATAGCAAAATCGATTTAATAATAACCACTAATGCGTTAATCAGTGCATTAAATAACACGATCAGATAATAATATGTAATTAAATATTATTTATTGTAATTAAAAAATTTAATATATATCTTTTAAACAAGGTTTTATACCTGTGTATGAAATAATAATCATAAATATGTAACTTGTCATCGCAATACGAAAACTCGAAAAGTACAATTGTGATAAACTTGTTATCCAGTGCCTCAAACTTTAATTTTTAAGAAATGATTATACAGTGCCTATCAAAACTAATGCATTCAGGCTTAAACCCTAAATTGCTGCCTCTATCCCGAACCAGACACAACCGCTGTGTCTGTCTAATCTCTCAGTATATTACCATAAGAAAGCAACCAGAATTGCCCCACTGTAAAAGCAAACGGGGTCGTTCTCGCTGATTTCACGGAATTTCCAAACGAAAGGTGGGTGTCTAAATCTCTGTTTCATTGACTGAATTTATTTGAAAGTTAATAAAAATAATTTCTTGCCAGAATATATATACTAATTATATCCAATATGCATTTACAATTAATAAAAATTACTTGACACTTAGAAATATAGTTTTCCTTTAGTCTTTCATTCAAACAACTTTATCAATATCTGACAATACTTATCCATATGCATGAACATGAGCATTGATAAGCTTATATACTCAAGTGCAGCAATGATATATTTAATTATACGAGGAACATATCATTTATAACATAGTTTTCGAATTTAGAAGAAATTATAAAATAATAAATAAATGATAAAATAATAACTTTTATATATAAATTACAGATTTTTTTAGAATACATACGTTTTATCAAGAAAAATATAATATTATCGTTAAATATATGGTTATAAATATAATATTATTAATAACATTTTTCGTGACTACTTCACAGATGTGGATGATGTGAAATACGTGATAAATTTCGATTATCCGTCTTCGTCGGAGGATTACATACATAGAATCGGTCGAACTGGGCGTAAACGACAGACCGGAACGGCGTATGCGTTTTTCACGACCCACAATATGAAACACGCCGGAGACTTGATAGAGGTTTTACGAGAGGCCGGACAGAATGTCAATCCGCGCCTCAGTGAAATGGCAGAGATGGCCAAGGCTGGAAACTTCAGAAGTATGTTTTCACATGCAGTCATAATCGATAATAATTCGGTCTATAATTATTCCATTGATTATTATATATATATATTTCATATGTCACAAGGTGGGAAACGTTTCGGCGGTTCCTCTGGTGGTAATGGGGTTGAAAGGGGTAACAGCCGAAGGAGTAATAATGACGGTAGAGGAAGAGGCGGCGGTTCGGCAAGAGGAAGAGGCCTTGCTCGCAGCGGGACTTCTTATCAGCCTTCTTCGAGCGTTTATTCGGGATCGGATTACAGTAATTATATGAAACAGAATGTTTCTTTGGGCCAGAACACGGCGTACGGATATAGCACGCAGAGAAGCTACGGACAGGGAGGTATGCCTCAAAATTACGGGGGTGGCGACAACTACGGAACTGGTTATCCGTACAGAAGCACAACTTATTAATTCCATTTTTTAATGGAATGACTCGATGGCGCGAAATGTCACGTTTAGCTGTAGAGACTCAACAGGATGCAGATGAGAGCCTGTTGAAGTAATAGATGAAAAAAGGATAAATAGAAAATGAATGTAATAAAGTTACGCGGCATACATAATGAAAATATCAATGCGATAGTATGTGCAATCTATATCGTACTATCGAGTGAATAACGATCGCTAATTGATTTTGCGAGTCAATTACAAGTTTGTTGAATGTGACGTCCATCCGTTTGCATACACGTTGAATTTGCATCGAATAAAAACCAGAGAGAAACTTCGACACAATTTTAATGCAATTGCAACTCTAATTGCAAGTTATTCTCATTTAGAACATATTAGCTAATATTTAACGGGAGCAGAAGAAGAATATAAATTCGTACATAGAGAGTATTAGGGTACAATTGTTCAAAGCTCAAGTATTCCCTTTTTTTTCTTTAAACAATTTTAAGCTCTATTTTATGTATAAATTTTACGAAATGTTACAGAATGTTACAGCATTTTACCGCAAGCGGTATATATGCCGATGTGCTATATATGCCGATTATATGTGAGTCTCGTTTATAGGATATTACATTTTATTAGTATTAGCGGATAGATAATTTTTTTTGTTACAAACAGCATAGTGAGAAAAGTTTGAAGAAAGTTACATGAGTTGGAAAATGATATTTGCATCACACTTGTGTGCAGTATTTAAATCAAGGATGTTTATATATAATAACTTCAATTTTTTTAATTTGAATTGGTTTATTTTGTTCCATTATTATCATTTTCTTTCTACAAATAAACTCCTTGAAATTTCAGAATTATATTTTCTTTTTAGATAAAGACTATTAAAAATTATGGGTCATTTAATTTTTTTTTATTTTGATAATATTAACACCTCATTTTATTTTAGTTATCTGAACTTTTGAAATATTTTAATGAATAATAGTCTAATTGTATCTTCCGTCAAACTGTAAGGAACTAAGGAAATGTGATAAAAATTTGTTAACGAAAGAAAGTGCAATTGATAAACTACATATAAATGCATTATTCGTTTTTTAACGGAACTGCGAGAATTCTCCGCAAATATGCAATCTAACAAATTGGAATGTATAAGCAGAGATTGGATCTACGTTAAAGCCTGTCTAAAGAAAATGATATGAATTATATATAATTTATAATTGACAATTGACCAAATGGCGCTTATTAATCAAAACGTTTATGTTTTTGGTACATATATAAGCTTTATATAATTTACATCAATATGCTCAAACACAAATTCGCTGTTAGATAATCGACTGGATATAGCTGGTTAATTGTTAATTATTTGTGATATTGAGGATTGATCAACAACTGTCTTTCTTTTCAATGTCTGTGATTTTTTTTTTACGATTGTTGAAATATCTTTAGAAAGAAAAAATGTTGACGTGTGTCATTTGTTGTGTGAGTCTATGTTACAGAATTAATAAACTTTCGCTTTCTTGGAAGCAGCCTGGAGTTCTCCCTTGTGTTCTCACAATCAGCACGAGATATATCTATTCGGTACGCGAGATAAGATCCACTATTGAATATTTAGTAAGAAGAAAAAAGATAAAGAGGATATAGTTTCACATAGCAACTTGATAATTGTCTATCTATATCATAAACTTACACAGCTATATAGTTATAATAAAGGAAAACTATTAAAATGTCTAATGTACGTAAAGATGATTAGTCTACTTTTCTGCATATAGGTACATTTTGCGGCTATATAAATTTGCGTGAATAGACACTAATTGATCTTTCGATTGTCATATTGCTACAATAATATAGACGGTATATGTTACATAAAATGACTAGCTAAATCTTTTTTTAAGTAAATTATTAAGTATTTACTTAATTTATTTAATTTTTTTTACTCAGATACCTAAATTAAAGAATTTTTCTTCGGTATTGTAATATTAATTATATATAATATATTCCTTCGATATAATAATTATTAATAATATTGGGTAACGATGTATGTATAGTCGTGGACGGATCGGGTGCGACATTTTTTTTTATAGGTTCTAATATATATATTATATATTATATTTAATATACATAATATACATTTTATAGGTAGCTAATATTTTGCAAATGCGAGCCACAATGTACTATTTTTAACTAGAGACAGTATAACACTAATTGTGTGTCGCATTTGCAAAATATTAGTGCGTTTTAAAACCTATAAAAAAAAAGTATCGCAACCGATCTGTCCACGACTGTACAATAGAGTAACTGTCCCTAGTGTGCTTGTACGTCCCTATTAGTGTGCTTTTATATTTAAATAAGTCATAAAAATAAATTGGTACAAATAAATAGACAAAGTGTTTCTTTTTTATTAAGTTAAAGTATTGACTTAATAAACAAAAAATACTGTCTATTTATTTGTACCTATTTATTTAAATAAAAAGTCATAAAAATAAACTGATACAAATAAATAGATAAAGTGTTTTTTTTTATTTTTATGACTTATTTAAATATAAAAGCACATTAAAATGTACAGGCACATTAATCACTTGAACGCAGCCTTCGAATTTGGCGCGGTGGCCGGTGGCGCAACGCCATTTAGTTCCGCAGCGCCGACCGCGATGGCGCTGGAGACGTCCAACGTGGCCTAACTTTCAGTTCCGGTGCAGCACGCTCACGCCTTTTGTCTCCGGTTTCTCGGGTTCCTCCGTCGTCGCGAGCACCGAAGCGGGCATTCGCCGACGTAAATCGCCTTTCTCTCGGCCTGGACGACGATTTTCCTCGCCGAAGGGGACGCGCGATTGTCGGAAATCACGACTGCGGACCGCGATCGCGACTCGCGGAGGGAACTACTTCTCGGCCCGGCCGCCATGACACCGTGACGCCGACACCCCGTCCTCGTTCCTTCAGCTGGCTGGCCTGTTAACGGGTGAACGTGCTCTCGTCACCCGGCTCCGATTGTTCTCGATCCGCACCGGTAACCGAAAAGGAGATCGCACACAGGACGGTGACACATTCCCACACCCGCTGCAATGTAAGTACGCCGCGTGACGACGCGGGGCGAATTTCGTTCCCCGGTTCTCGCCTCGGCCTCTCGCTCTCGATCAATCCGCGCTACTTGCCCGATCACGCTCTCCCGTACGCCATTTTGCGGACGGTGAGGATCCTTTGTCGGCGATCGTCGGCCCGATCGCGGATCCGCGGGGATCCGCGACGGGCGATCGCAACGTCCCCCCCGAACGGGGCTTTGGACAGTGCGGTTATGCACGCGAGACGTACGATAATGCAATCCCCGAACGAAATCGTGCGACCCGAGGGCTCCTGGAATCGTGGATTTCACTCTCCTTGCACGCGCGCGTCACGTTGCTGAGGAAAAAAAATTTCGCATTTTTCACCTTTTCGACGCTTCGAACGCGCCCCGAAGGATCCTCGAGCTCGCGCGAGCTTTTGTTCGCGTCGAAATTTATCGAGCGGGGGAGTTTTCTTGTAGCGAAGGTGTCTTTTCTTGTAGCGGTAGGAAATTAAGACGGCTAATTAACTGTGACGGCACGGCTATAGATCGTCGGGAAGTGAGGAAGGATAAGCGAACTGTTACATAAGTCTTAACGAATTATCGCTTGCGCGATAAATTCCTTCAATGCCAGTTCAATGCGAGCGAATTTCTGGAGTAGGGACAAGGAAAATTTTCTCGATGGCTAATTAGGAGAAACTTGTAGAAAATAAAATACCGTGATAATAGGATATATCCAATTAAATTTAATGTTATAAATTTTTTTTTTTTTGTAGCTGCGAGATGTACGATTAGATGGAAAGAGGAAGGATTAAAAGTGCAAAGAATTTAGATATAGAAAAAAAAAATCTTGTTTGTCCTACAAGTTTCTCCTTGTATTGATTGGCTGTTGGCTATTTGTGGCAGCACATGTCCTCAACGTTCAATAATTGTATATCTTGAGTACAAATATAAGGTATGTTTTTTTATAGCTGAGCTGGCTACACTAGTTCAGAGTTTATCTTTTTTCCAATGTGGAAAGAGAAAGATAAACTGTGAACTGGTGCAGCAGTTCAGCTGTAAAAAACAGGCCTATGTATTCGCTGAAAAAAAAAAACGAAAATATTTAAACACACACACACACACACACATCAAAGCAGTTTGAAACACAGCATAAAGGAAAATTCCGAGGGGATAAACCGCTAACCAAAATTGTATACACCAATGCCTAGTAATGCCCCACGGACATAACATCGTGAGAGAGCAATCTTATTATTTAGCGTAATTTATTTGATGTTCACACTTTATTACGTGTTGTAAATGTGTTTGACATAAAACAATTGCCAATTGTTGCCAAAATGTTTAAAAATATAACGTAAGTGCCCAGTAATGCCTAGCAATGCCTCGAATCTGTACACTGCAATGCCCTCAGTGGTTTACCCCTCGGAAAATTCACACTTGTGTCCACAAAGTAATAATAGGTTCCTCTTTTTAGAAAATTACGTTATCGAGATTTAATAATCGTCTGATTTTTACTCTGTTTGAAAAAGGGCATATGGCGAACGCGATCGTTCTGATAGACGAGGAGGAGGCGGCGGTGGTGGAGGAGCACGCGGCGGCGGCAGTCGTTTCGGCGGACGCGACGGAGGCGGCGGCGGCAGTAGATTCAGCAGCAGCGGAAACAGAGACAGCAGTTTCGGGAATAACAATTTTAAGAATCGTCAGCCCGGGGAGCGCCTACGTAAGCCGCGATGGGACATGAGCACTCTGCCGCAGTTCAGGAAGGACTTTTACCAGCCGCATCCCAACGTAATGGCGCGGAGTATTCACGCCGTGGAGGCGTACCGTTCCAACAAAGAGATCACGGTGAAGGGAACTAACGTTCCAGGTCCCAATATTTATTTCGAAGAGGGCGGCTTCCCGGACTACGTTCTCAACGAGATCCGCAGACAGGGCTTCGGCGAGCCGACCGCGATCCAGGCGCAGGGCTGGCCGATCGCCCTGTCCGGCCGCGACATGGTCGGCATAGCGCAGACGGGCTCGGGCAAGACGCTGGCGTACATCCTGCCGGCGATCGTGCATATAAATCATCAACCCAGACTTAGCAGAAACGACGGGCCGATCGCGCTGATCCTGGCGCCGACCCGCGAGTTGGCGCAGCAGATTCAGCAAGTGGCGTCGGACTTCGGTATGTCCTCTCAAGTGCGAAACACGTGCATCTTCGGTGGCGCCCCGAAGGGACCACAGGCGCGTGACCTCGAGCGCGGCGTAGAGATTTGCATCGCCACGCCGGGACGTCTCATAGACTTCTTGGAGCGTGGCACCACGAATCTACGTAGATGTACATATCTAGTGCTCGACGAGGCCGACAGGATGCTCGATATGGGCTTTGAGCCTCAAATTAGGAAAATTGTAGAACAAATACGCCCCGACCGTCAGACTCTCATGTGGTCGGCGACGTGGCCGAAGGAAGTGCGTAATCTCGCGGAGGAGTTCCTAACGGACTACATACAGATCAACATTGGTTCCCTACAATTGGCTGCCAATCACAATATTCTGCAAATCGTGGATGTGTGCGAGGAATACGAGAAGGAGAGTAAGCTCATGAAACTGCTGGAAGAGATCTCAAACGAACCGGAAAATAAGACTATAATATTTGTCGAAACTAAGAGGAAAGTGGATGATATAACAAGAGCTATTAATAGATACGGATGGCAAGCGATTGGTATTCACGGTGACAAAAGCCAGCAAGAAAGAGATTATGTATTAAATCGTGAGTGCTATTTGCTATGGTTTTCTAAATACACGAGAAGCAAACATTAATGATATATTTGTTTAAGTATCACTTGAATCAACTCTATTTGAATAAGTAAAAATTCAAATTATGAACGAATATACAGAAAGAAATATTTTGTAAAAAAAATCTTAATCTTTTATATTGTACAATGAATTCTCTATATTTGTCAAAAGAAAAAATTGAACTAAATATCATTCTATGTTTCATCTTCAATTACTTTTGCATAATTCTTTAGAGCTGTAATATTATTTGTAATACAAAGGAGATGTTGTTTTATAGAGTTCCGGAATAGCAGGTCTGCCATCCTTGTGGCTACCGACGTGGCGGCGAGAGGTTTAGGTAAGAGTTTGCAGTTACATAGGTATATGATGTAAGGGTCAGGCTGCGATGGTTATTTCACATTTGTGAAAGTCGTGGTATTGTAATGTGGCAACGGATAACGGCATGTGCCAGACTGATTGACATTACCTCCTTACCAGTGTGGCTGGAGATAATTTTAATTACTCTTAAGGAATTCCAGGATCCGACTAGTTTAAATACCCCATTTTGATTTTGCCATTGACATCTTCCGTTTCGTTAATTTTTACGCTAATTTTCTTTCTTTTCGCCCACTAATTAATAGAGTTTCGGTGGTGCGCGTTATAGAGCGCACTTAGAGCAATTAACAATTGCCATTGACTTTTCAGCGATACGATTAATGAAGGAATTAGTTTTAATCGTTTTGTTAACTTCTTCTAAGTCTTAACTTCTTTTATCATAGGCTAGAGCGTAGGTGGATTTTGACGTTTTTTTCATATTTTCGCGGAATATTTTCTTTTTGAAACGATGACACAAATAGTAACGTTAAATAGACTTTGAACGATGCGATGGATAGAATGTACAATGTATAGAAAGAACGTCAAAATATTTCAGCTTCAAAACTGAGGGAAATCAGGTAAGCGATTTAGAGCCAGGTTTATCTCTTCCGATTTTGTACTCTCAGATCGAAACAAGTCCTGTCAGTCTGGTATTAACGTGCTGTTCTATGTGTTTTCAGAGGCACATGCGACTCTGGAGTCTTAGAACTCTGCCAGTAGCTTTGTGGAAAATATAATTGAACGGGGCGTGACTGCTGGTCGCCGCCCCCTCGCAACAAGCTAACGCTGTGCCTCGGCCACCTTGCCACTCGAAAAACACTCTCACTCTGTACCTGCGACGGTCCAAAGTATGGAAATTGTAATGTTAGGGCGTTTAGCATGAAGACGAAAAGAAAAAAGAAAGAAAGAACAAAAAGGATAGATATATTGCCGGTTACACATTCGTTAAGATTGAAATAGCAAATTGCATCAAGTCGCGCTCTGCATTAATTGTGATATTCGTTCTAAACAATTAGCGACCGCGTTTTTTTTATTTTTATTTTTTATTATCACGTAGACATGTAAGAACTCGGGATAAACGTGTGAACAACTTTTTACATATAATACGTACGTTATACATATGAATGAATTTGAATTGTCAAAGATTCCGTAAGTTAGGACGAACAATTAGATTGTGAATAACGGCGGCGATTTATTATTAAGAATTCTGACGTCGAAGCGGACACAGGTGTCTTCACAATATTGCGGTGCGTAGTTCTTGATGCTAATCATTTGACGGGAAGTGTACATGTGGGGGTTGAGTGGAGAACGCAAGGTGCTGCACTTGGTGTTCCAACCTCTTCACCGAAGCAATGTACAAGGACCAAATTTCGAAATAACCAGCACAGATCCATACTTTGGTGCGGGAGAGAAGGGTGTAATGTTGCCTAAGAATAAAAATGTAGAGCTCGCTAAATACGTGAAGCGAGAATTCCATGAGAACCATCTGAGCTCTGATTCCTCTACATTTCCAAAAAATGTATTTACATTTCCAGCTCTAGTCGCAAACAGGTAATTACATGCAGACTTGCTCTTTGTGGTCAACTTGAATGTTATAAATGCAAATTGCAAATGGAACTAAAGCTACTTTATTGCACTTAGGAACGATATTTCTTTTTTTATTACTCGAGGTAACTTTTATACATGTTCTTGTCCGTCCTTCATATTTAAATGTGTATTTTTTTCATTGACGACCATGTAGCAGCATTGTTAAAAGAAGACAAGAGTAGATTAGATGATTTTTTTTCCACCTTTGTACATCACACGTATTTTGTAAATGCTTCAAGGTTTCGTGCAGAATATACTCGATAATCGGTAATTTAAGAAACAGACTCTTTAATTCCATTAGCAAAGGCAGCGTCCTGGTAAAATGCTTGAATCTATTCGCTTTATAAGTTTATTGAACCACAAAGAAACAAGTGTTTTCCGTGTGCCGCCGTTATAACTTGATGTATATCTCGCAGATGTCGAGGATGTCAAATTTGTGATAAACTTGGACTATCCGTCCAACTCTGAGGACTATGTGCACCGTATCGGACGTACGGGTCGCTCGCAGCGTACAGGAACCGCGTACGCCTTTTTCACGCCCAGCAATGCTCACAAGGCTGGTGACTTAATTCAAGTTCTAGAAGAGGCCAAGCAAGTTGTCAATCCGAAACTGTACGATTTATCCCGGAATCCTGGCGTTTATAAAAGTGAGTATATCACCCATTTTTTTTAATGTTAAAATTTAGAGATATGACTGTACTAGACTTCACATTAAAATCTCATGTTTTTTTTTTACACCAATTGATACCCTCATTATTTCAATTTATCTTTTTCATTATTTTACATAAAAATATTAATATATTTATCAAAAGTACATTAAAAAATTAATAGTTTACGATATTTTATATTTTATGCCGAAATATGTCAAAATGAAGTATAAAATGTCTAAATTATTGATTTTTTGCTAATTCTATTTCTTGTAGAATTTTAGAATAATTAGAGAAATTATTATACGTATGATAAGGCAAACATATAGATTCTTTAAAAAATAAAAGTTATATAATTTACAATGTAAAGATAAACAAGACATCAAATATGTTCGTTTAACTTAAAATTACCAGATTTCAATAATTTTTGTAATAAAATTTTTGCTAGTTTAGAATGAAACACATATAAACGAAAACTGGCCTTATGGAGCTTCCCCCTTTGATGTCGAATCAATTATATGTAAATTGCGCGTTATTATACGTAACAATTACGTTTAATATTTATTACAAATAAAAAATATGTAAATATCTTTTTTACCTAGAAAATATATAAAACAAATTTCTGTCCAAAGCAATATAATTGCTTTTATTAACGTTTGTTCAATGATAAAATTAATATCCACTAATATAAATCAATAATAAACTCAGTTAATATTAATATAAATACTAATATAAATACTAATATAAATCAATAATAAACTCAGTTAATATTAAGGTTAATATTATAAAATCAATAATAAAGTGTTGTTACATTAATTGTTAATTAGGAGGACGATACGGTGGACGCAGCGGAGGTGGTGGTGGTGGACGAGGATCCGGAGGCCGTGGTGGCGGTTCACGAGGCACTCGCGGAGGTCGCGATGGAGATAGAGGTGGAAGATTCGACCGCTCTTCCGGTACTGGCGCGAGCGATCGCGGCAACAAATGGTCCGGAAGCAGTAGCGGTGGGTTCTCAGCATTTAAAAAATTGATTGTGTAATTTTGTCTAATTTTGTCTGGCTTGGAATGGAAAATGTTATTGCAATACTCTTAAATCAGTAAAAGTACGGATACAATCAAGTCTCCACATATTCTTAGCCCTTTTACTCTTTCCACCTCCTTATTTATTTATTTTTTAAGACTCTTAGTTTTTCACTGCTGCCATATTGTGACGTTTCGTTAGCATAGATTGGTGAAATTTATTGTGTCTTGTAAAACGCCTGGTGTACGCTTCACATAGGTGGCATGGGCGGGGCTAGCTATGGAAGCAGTAAATCGTTCCCTCAAAACAGCTTCGGGAGTGGAACTTCCGGCGGTGGCTCCAATAGCTACAGCCAGAACAGTAGTGGATACGGCGGGAGCAGCTACAGGCAACAAAACGGCTATTGACTTCATGCGAACGGTCAAAATGTGGGTATTGTAACATAATGCAAAGAAAAAGAGAACGAAAGAAACTTTAGATAGATCTAAATAAGAAAGAATTTATGTCCAGGACGATGATTGTCCTCTATCTCTACATGACTTTCTCGTTTGTAACAGAATACTCCCATCTGCGTTCCAGAGGGAATAATAGCAGTCAACGATTGATATGAGCCGACGAGCCCAGAGTTGCAGAGAATCGTTCCAAAAAAAAAAAAAAAAAAAAAAACAAATTTACACACATTCTCACGAGCATTCGTCTCCTTCTTTTCTTTTCTAGTACACGTCAACTCTTCATTAGCTCTTTAAGTAATATAATACTATCAATTATGCAAGTCACATGTGTTACATTTAGGATAGCTCCTTAATATATTTAGGCGATTCAATTATGCCACGTGATTGTCGCCGAATGATATAGTATTACAATTCGATCGGCTTGCCGCTGTACATTCAAATAAAATAGTGTAAGAATGACACTATGAAAAGCTGAAAAACGTTGCGTTTCTCTCTGCTAAGTGGTTTTTTTTTTCTTCGACGTTTCTTTCGCGCAGAGTGCGTATTTATTTCTTAATTTTACGTGCATATATTTATTTCTCTAGCGTTGTCGATAACATAAAGTACGTAGCGATAAACATTTTTTATTTATATTTGTAAAATTGCAATTTATTTTGAATTATTATAAACACATTTTCAGAGAGCCCTCTAACAAATCCACGAGTGTATAAACGTGTGCTTGCGATCGGCATTCAATCGACATTATCGATGAGACATATTTTGACGAGTTACGTTGTGCGTAAGATAAGCCGTCTTGAGTCACGGAATGCCGTCCACGCAAACACGCGTATATACATGCCACTGTTGGAATTTACTATGAAATATCCTATCTGAAAAGACGCTCACAAGTATTCTATCTGTAAAGACGCTAATGACTAATTTCATTATGCCATTATCGATAACAATTAATCTTCGTCGAGTGCCGTCTACTTCATTCATTGGTCGAGCCTGCTTATCGAGAATCATACGATCCGGTCCGGAATTTGCCCCTGGAATGAAAACATTTACCCCACCGAGATTTATCGCGCCGGCAATAAAACATTTATTATGTCTATGATTTGTTTTATACATTGTCCGTTTTCCCACTAATAATCGAGCTTTTCGGCTTCTTTCCAGTTGAATCGTCCGCATCATCGTTGCAATATATGTGTTTATGACGATGTTACAAGTTAATGTGCAAAATGCCGTTGCTTCTTGCTTGTGGCGCAGCAAAGGTTCAATAACAAAATAATAGGAGAATCTCTTTTATATTAAATTTAAGAAAAATGCAATAAGATTACTACTATTTAATGCAATTTCATTACTTTATTTATTCAGTTCTTACTTTTGAAATTCTAAAATAATTTTGCATTATATGTATATAATGAATTTTTTTATGTCTGCTAGATTATGATGGCAAACATTGTCTGTTAGACTATGCGAAGATGATGACTGACAATTTTTTTATCAGAGTAAATATCCATAATTGCAGCTACCATTGTAATCATGTGAACCGTCTTCCTGGTCTTTATGTTAAAATCAAGCGATTTCTAATATCTTTACATTGTAATAAACGTGCCTAAACCAGGAAAACATCAAGCACATGATACATTATTCATAGTCGCAATTATATATGCCTGTTCAGCCACAAATACGCATCTAGCGTCGCATCGCGACTGAAAAATTTATCAAATCATGTTCGCCAGCACTGAGTTGAAAATATATTCAAACGCGAGAATTCATTTTCTGAATTAATTGCAAATGAAAATGATGCAAAATGATGCAAGTTCTGATGGACGTTCAGGATTAGATGAGTTAGCAGTTCGTCATTTATTCATGGCATAATGAGAATCAAAACATTAAACTCGATTAGACTAATAGACTTGCGATTACATTAATTTGCGAAAATATTTGAATTATTTTTCATTTCGGAATGAATATTTCAAAATGTTATCGAATTAAATTGCTATTTTCTGTTATTAATTCTATATTATTAATTGCTATTTTATTATAGGAACTGAAATAGAGTTTGGTCTATGTATAAAAGTAAATGTATATAAAATAAGAATTCACGTATGTATATAAATTAAGAATTTAAAGACGTGAACGGGAGCATATTTTCGGAGTATTCCGGAACATATGACAATGCTCTATGAAATTTATCATAGAGATACGTCATTTTCGCATCTATCAAATAATTTTCGACAATCGGATCATACCAAAGTAGACAGGAGCAACTGTGACGAAATTTTTCTTTTAAAGCCGATGGAGAAGTCATTTATTTCATCAAGAGATCTAAGAAAAAAATTGATCGTCGTTCAAAAGTTGAAATCAATAAACTATATAATTGAGATCGATAGGTCATGATGCGAGTCTCCGAAAGCAATAATAATTTCGTTCGCGAAGTTTCGATGCGAGAGGGAGATGCGCGTTGAAAGAGCGCGCCAGGCCATAAATTTTTTTGTAAGGGCCGCTTTCGCGCGCGCCGGCGACGTGAGGAGGACGTCCGAGCCGAAGCTTGCTTCCCCTCGCGGAGTAGTTACGTCAGCCCCTGGATCCCTACTCGGCGATGACGCCAGTCGCGCCAACCCGGCATGGGATGGGAGTGCGGGACGCGGTGGGATTTTTAAAGGCGCCGTGTGAAACGGCAACGCGCGCAGTCGGTTTCACGACGGGAACGGTGGCGGTCGCAGGCGTGTGTGCGTGTGTGTATGTGGTGTGCGCGCGCGGGCTCTCGTCTCTCTCTCTCTCCCTCCGCCCTTTCGCCCCTCTCCCGGCGAACAGCCCACGACACGGCCGACGTCGGACGTCACTCGTCTCGCTGCGATAGGAAGAGACAGTCAGTCAGTGGTGGTATTGCAGTACCTGGTCGCGTTCCGTCATGACGGAGGAGGCTCGCAAGGAGGTTCGCGTCTGGTGCGACGGGTGGTGAGTGACGCTCGTGAATCTCTTGGTCGCGCGTTAGAATAGGTATAATCGCGAGGAAGCGGCGTCGAGCCGCGCTTGAGCGGCGGCGTCGCCCGGCCGGCCGACGAGTCCGCGAGCACACGTGTCCGCCTATCGTCTCACGACGTGTCACGACGCGCGGGGTGCGGATTACGGTCGCATCCTCGCCGTTCGCGAGGCGTTCGTTAGGCGCGCGATATCAATCGATATTACTACACGGTCATACGTGTGTCCAACCCTCCGCTCCGCGGCCGGCGGCGCGAGGTGGACTCGCGAGGAAAGGCGAGTTCCCGAATTAGCGCGATTTTTATCGGTTAACTTTCACGCGACCGCAAACGACAGTTTTGTGCTTATTATGGGTTCCTATATTTAACATAGAAATATACACGTTATTCTTGTTTATGTCAAATTTACAATTAATAGAGGTTCATATCGTGAACAAAAGAGCTAGGAGAGGCAGAGAGGCACGTTCTCCACTTCTAGCGAAGTGGATCAGTCGAATGGGGAAATGTGCGTTGCCAGAGAAGATAGACGTAAGCGCGGATCTCTGTGTGTAAGAATGTATCACGACGAGCTGCGGTACCCCAGAGATTCTTGTAGCGTTTTCGGACGGGTTTGATCGCTCCGAGAGCGATTAATGACGTCACAGAGAGGGGGCGAGGGGAGCATGGGACGTTTATTAATCGCTCTCGGAGCGATCAAAGCAGTCCGAAAACGCTATAAGAATCTCTAGGGTATCCCGGCCTCGCGATACATTCTGACATTTAGATCCGTGCTTCTACACTCGTCTGTCTTCTCTGACGTTACTCCGAAATCGTGCCTTCCACGCTTCGCGCGTGATTGGCAATAAAGAATCGTCGCCGACGTCTCCAATAGCGGAGCCGGCTGCAGTTCTCGCTGTGCGACACGATTCGGAGCACCGCGCGTCCTCGTTCAGCGCGATAAAATAATGACGCACAAACAGGGCGAACCATGACAGACCGGTCTTCGTCGGTGCCGTCGAAATTCAAGGCATCCAAGCCCTTGTTCCGCGACCTCGAATTCCGCCGTTTTTTTCCGCCGTATAATAAGGTGTATTTGGGAGACAGATAAATCGTTTGTTAGGTGCTTCTATTATTCATGTCGTCGGCAGACAAGTCGTTTGAAACGACGCACGATTATCGCGATGGAGAACGATAGCTGGAAGCGCGTTTAAAACATTATCACGATTTTGTAAACGATTATTCGCGATCGTGCCCACGATTTGCCACAGTAATATTTCTTCTTACGGTGTCGCAAGACTCACGGAATGCGACATCGTAAGACATTTGACATAAGACCTTCGTTGTAGCTTGCTCAGTTTATTTGTATATTTTACGTATGTAAATCGAAATCAATATATCGTGTTGATAACGCAAAAATAAACTCATTTAAATTGTGTAGCTTCGAATATATCGGTTTTTAATTTCATTCCCTCGAATAATTTGGTACTAATTTTAATTTCAATAAGTCTTTCTGTCTCTTTCTCTCTTCAATTTTAAACACGTTCTTGTTTTAGCGACCTGAATTTAGTTTTCGACGTCTCTTTAAAACTTCGTCTACATCCATTTTTACTCGATTTAATATTAATTGTCGCGAACGCGACGAAAATTTATAGGCACAGATGCGTATATAAGTATAAATTAGTATGTTATCGTGTGATTTATAATTCACGTTATCGCGTCTCGCGCGATTGATATAATAATCAGCAAAGCTATTTTACATTCAAGGCCTGTACACTTGGTAGACACACGCTGGGAATCTTTAAATTATTTTATCACATCACATTCATTATTAATGTATCATCCACATTAAATGTGTTGCGGTAAAATCCGGTTTTTTTTTACTTTGCTTTGAGCGAAAAAATATCTTTTTTTTCAGTTGTTTACTGGAAAAAAACCAATTAATTTGCAGATTTTATTTACATATGAAACGTCGAGGCGCAAATGATCTATAGATTTATACAGATGTGCACGTGTCGATTTATTATTACTTATAATAAAAATAATCTCCTCTTTTGAGACAAACAATTTAGATAATATTTGCCTGTAAAAGTATTTTCCCAATTTTTCATATTATATTAAATCATGTTAAACAGTTCTTCTTTTAATAATTCTTTTGGTGACGCGAAATAATTTTATTGACATTTTTGTTTAATGATTATTCTCTCTTCATTAACACTCTTTATTAAAATTAATTACACTGATTGCAGTTATGACATGGTGCATTTTGGACACGCAAATTCTCTGAGGCAGGCGAAAGCTTTAGGCGATTATCTGGTGGTGGGTGTCCACAATGATGAAGAAATCACGAGACACAAGGGTCCTCCCGTCTTCACCGAGCAAGAAAGGTATACGTCTGTTGCTTCATTAGAAGGAAGTTATGTAAGCCATAATGATCGTCCGCGATTTCGATTGTCATTCCAGAGTTGGTTATTACGTGTTAATCAATTTTCAAATTACGTACCATTTATTTTCTTGAAACTCATAACGCTTAGATGGATATACGTGTTCTCCCGCTTTTTATACAACGCGCGTTTCTCTCTTATGCCTTGGAAAACGCGATTACATAAATAATGAATATTAGTGCTCCGATTCTAGCACATTGTAATATGCCTTAGTCGGAGTAATATGCCTTATTACGGAGAAAATGTTTACGCGAGTTCCATATTCGCATCGTCATTTGGACGTAAAATATTAATATATACCAAAGCCGTGATCATGTCATAGACCCGGCGCAGGGAGGTCTTACTAGGGCCTTGACATTTCCGGTCAATATCTACGTAGAAAGAAAACTGAGCGGTTAAAGAACGCAGTACACAACGTTGTACTGTAAAACAAGTACCTCGTCTTGTCGCGTTTACATAAGTTACTTTCTTCTGCGATAATTACAGATTACAATCGCGCAAGATTATACCGGATACGAGTATATATTAAAATTTTCCATTCTCCTTTCAAACTCTCATAACGAAATTTAAAATTGTTTTTGCAAAAGTTCTTATTGCAATGATAAGCGTACAATAAAATCAATAAAATAACACAATAATGATTACATATAAATATACTAATTACGAGTACTAACGAGCGGATTTTCTTTTTCTTAGGTACAAAATGGTGCGAGGCATTAAATGGGTAGACGAAGTAGTCGAGGCTGCGCCCTACGTGACTACATTAGAAACATTAGACAAATATAACTGTGATTTTTGTGTTCACGGCGATGATATCACAATGACGGCTGACGGCGTCGACACGTACCATTTAGTTAAGGCAGCTGGTCGCTACAGGTAGTTTTTCTAAAAACTAATTATTTTATTTAAATATTCTTTAAAAGATTATGTATAGTCTTTTACTAAGAAGGAGGGCTCGTGATTATTTTTTTCAGAGAAGTCCAGCGCACGGCCGGCGTCTCGACGACCGATCTCGTTGGACGTATGCTGTTGATGACACGACAGCACTTTCGACGGGGCGATAACGAGTACAGCGTTGACCGGGAGCCGAGCAAGAGCATGGGTCAGGATCGAACCGCCCGGAGTCCGTGGACCGGCTGCTCGCAATTCCTGCCGACCACGCAGAAAATCATACAGTTCAGCGACGGCAAGAGTCCACAGCCGGGCGATAAGATCGTGTACGTGGCGGGGGCGTTCGATCTCTTCCACGTGGGACACTTGGATTTCTTGGAGGTCGCCAAGAGGGAGGGGGACTACCTCATCGTCGGTCTGCACACCGATCCCGCCGTTAATCGATATAAATGCGGCAATCATCCTATCATGAATCTTCACGAACGAGTACTCAGTGTGTTAGCGTGTAAGGTGAGTCTTTTTTTTCGCGCCGAGATTTTTAATACATGTGTCTGTGTAGAGATAAATAATGGCGTGAAAAAATAGATTAGTATAAAATATATGTATACGCGCATGACACAAGTTTATTCAATGCATGAATTTAAGATACGCAATCTGCGTAGTTTCTAGAAGATTAGTGGCGCATATTTTCCAGCGAAAAAAAATCTGATAAATCACGCCACTCTGTTTGAGATAGCAGAAACGAGTAAATACATAAAGTTTTTACACAATATTACATACTTTTTTTCCTCTGTGTTCGCAGTATGTTAATGAGGTTGTAATCGGTGCGCCGTATGCAGTGACAAGAAATTTGATGGAACACTTTAATGTTTCTGTCGTGTGTCACGGACAAACGCCTATAATGCCTTGCGAGGACGGCTCGGATCCGTACGCGGAGCCCAAGAAGCAAAATAAATTTAAATTGTTAGATAGCGGTAACGATATGACAACGGAAAAAATTGTCGAAAGGATCATTCTTCACAGGTATGTTCCATCTTTACAGGCGTGTTATGCATGTATACCTTTCTTTGTCAGACTTTATGAGAACAATTTTTTGATACTTTAGTCTATAGAAGACTTCAAATGATAGTTTATACATTTATTACATAATTATACAAGTACGCAGTTTTTAGTTATGAAATTCTTGAGTAAATTAACAAATTGTCTCATAACGATCTCTTCAATTTGCTTAAATTAAAAACAAGACATGCAAAAATTTTTTATTTGACATTTTTGTGTTATTCACATTTATGATATAATTAAGTATATTATAATTATTTGAGAGAATGATACAGTAACTGGTTGCATTATACTATTTAGTGAACATGTTACTGCGATTTGATAACATATCATACTGGACTTTCGTCCTCGAGTCACTCTATGTATTTTTTTTTTATTTTTTTACGTAGACTTCTATGAAGCTGAAGCTATTTAATATGTTCCTCTATATTTTATTCCTATCCGTATCTATAATAAGATTGATATGGCAAAACATTTTTAATTAGGCCAAAAGATAAAAAAAAATATACGTATTAATTTTTCGTCTTCTGCTTTTTTATCCCCCTTTAGGCCGAGCGAGCTTTATACGGTTATTAAGAATTTCAACAAATGTTGACAGTTAAAATCTGGTTGTTTTGTATTCTTTATTCAATTATTGAGCAATCGTTGATGGGACAAATCTGGCAGTTCTGTATTTTCTATTCAATTTTGCAATAAACGCATATTTACTTACTTCTCATTATAATTTGTTGTCATTCATTCATTTACTGCTTCTGATGGGATATGTAATTTCGTTCATCTTGCAAAGTATTTTTCTTGAGTTCCATTTTGCCCCATTCTCTTATTTACCGCGACATATCGTAGCCTCTTTCCGGGTGATAACACATCCACATATCCCAACGACTGCGAGCATTCCTATCACGTGTTGATCTAGCGTCTAATTGCAGGTTGGAATACGAGGATAGAAATTTAAGGAAGGAGAAAAAAGAGCTTGCCGCTTACGAAGCCTTCATCAAGTCTAAGAACAATGACAGGATTGAATAATTGTTTCGTTTTATTTCCTTTCCGCGGACATTCGCAGTGTGTATGTGTGATGGTCAGATTTTATAAAGTCGATGTGTAAATACGATGTTACACCTATACTCAATTTATCGTTTCGAAATGCCTTACATAGTTGAAATGAATATTTATAATCAATCAAGTAATGTGCTAGTTAATATCGATTAGCGATGTGGAAATCCGCTAGTTTTACTTTGTTGCAATACACTATGGAGAATAATACACAACGATGAAGAATATGACATCAGGTGAACATATTATATATACAAGGTGTGCCAGGACTATCAGCATTCGTTCTATCTTTTTATCAATTCTAAATTCACATTTTTTTTAAATAAACAACTTTTTATTTAGGATTACAAATGGGCATTAATATTTTCTGATTATTCAGTGAATTTTTATAAAATTATTTATGGCGAACTAAATAAAATTTCAAAAAAATTTTATTAAATTTTTATAAAATGCGACAATTAAAATATAAGCATATGATTATTGTTATAATTGACATTACAATTAATTTAAACGTTCAAACTCTGTTGGTTACTAAATTGCGAAAAACGGAAGGCTGTGCCTAATTGTAAGCTTCATCCGATTTCTTCAATTAAAATAGCAATTACAAATATGACAATTGCAAAATTGATTTTAAGATATATTTATTGAGTTATTTTATGCTTTAAGACTATTAAATTTTAGTGGATTTTTTCAATAAAATAGATTTATTTCGAATTTATTTCTAGTCACAGGCCTGAAACGTAGATCTGGAACACCTTACATATATCTCGATATATCTCTAAAGACAAGAGTTGTCTTAAAAGGTATACCGCATATTACGAAGCCTTTGAATGTAGATATGCTTAGTAATTATATTGTTCTCTCACGCGATATGAACGTTGTGATGTCGTTGCTTGATTCAAATATCGAAAATAATCAGTTACTGTATAAGCAATTATGTGAGAAACGTAGGAACAAAGATCGAATATTTTTCAGGTCGAATTGTTGAATTTCGACTAATTTCACAACTACTCTCTTTCATCATGCGTCATCACTTTATTATTGTTTTTATTTTTTTCGCATTAAAATATTTTTCTATTTGTTTTTGATCGGAGTTTTTTTTAAGCAAATATTACGGATACAGTTCGAATTTTATCGAAAAATCGACATGTCCGGTCTTCATAGAAAAATTCTCGTTATGTAATATATAGGTGTATGTGTTTTTATATTTACGAAATATTTTAATCTGTTTAATTAGCGAGAATATAATTGAAAAACGCGAGTATGTAAACGTGAGTATTCCATGGTTCTTTAGTTCCGGGAATAACGAAATAATCGAGATTGGCAGGTAAATGGAGCTAGGCTCGTGATTCGGTCTAATTAATCGGAAGTTCCTAAGCATTTGCAAATGCCTATCGGATGTTTCTTAGCGATGCCGGGATACGCGCCGCGCGTTACAAGACGTCGCGATACTTACGACCGACGAACTTGGCGAGCTCGTATAAGACATCCGGCCGGGTAGTTAATTAAACTTTACGCGACAAGCATTGTTTCATCGAAGCGAATTACGACGCGTAATTTAAGCTGCTAGATTTTCTAATGGGAGATATTCTAGAGTATATCGTATGCCCAAAAATATCAACGGAGCCAAAGACGTTACGATGCACGTCGTAATAGACTGAAAATCGAGTTACCGTTTATCTACGAACTTTAATTGGTTGCGTCTGTGGGGAAATGAGAGGGAAATCGCGCGGCGTGTACGTGAACGTTTCGTACATGAAGATGTCTCGAGGATGTTTCAGATAAGCTACATCGTAGCTGCCTTCGTTAGATATTAAATCGCGAAAAACTGACGACAGTATCTATATTGAGTCTTTCGCCGAAGTAAGGATCGAGGTGGCCAACGAAGAATCTGAGACATCCTATATGACGCAAACAGGTTCTTCGACCTGATAACATAGTGGCGAATGGCATTGGCGCCGATAAACTTTTGTAGCGACAGTTGAACTAGATTACGCCGGAAAAAAAAGGGAGAAAAATTGTACAGTTTGTGTGATTTTCTATACGGAAAAGTCCAGACACCGAACAAAGATTGTAACACGCAGAAAGATTGTTTAACCTTTTATTTTATAATAAATAGTCATTGTACACGGTCACAATAGTCTACAATAGTCGTAAGTAATGTGTATACGCTTCTCAGTTACCTTCACGGATCGATTACCGTGTCCTCAGAATCACGCCTTACGCAATTACGCGATTAGTTTTGCGCTCTTTTTCTCTCTCTCTCTCTCTCTCTCTCTCTCACGATCATTATTATTATTAAATGTATAAAAACTTTAAACCTTTTTTTTTTTAGAGCGTTCTTAGAATAACTTCCGAGAGAGACGCGAAGTTGTTTAAAACACACGCAATACAGGCGCACATTGATTGCTCTAACAACTAAATGTAAATAATAATTTAGCGAACAAATTAACGTTAAATTTCCTCGCTAAAACTTCAGGTTTCTTCCTCCTAGTAAGTTCTCTTCCTTCGAAACTTTCGTCACATAGACTTCTTCCTCAAAATACCTTTCGTTTAACTGCGATTATATTATAATATATATATAGATCGCCTCGTAATAATATACGTATAAAACATCTCTGCGCTCTGTTAAAAGGGTATGCTGTAAAAATGCGAGCCGCGTTCGTGTTTATTTACAAAGTGAGATAAATTCGTGCAACCACCCCAAATGTCCCGTTCGAGAGTTCCTTCGCATTCGGCGAGGTCCTTATTATCCTATTGCACGAGCAGATCCGCTCGCTTGATTCAGGTCACGTGATAGCATTGCACGTTTGAGAGACTCATTCGTATAGTGAGATTACTTTTCGTATTTGAGCAATGTCGACAGATATTCGCGTGAAACTTTTTGACAGAAATTGCATGATTTGCACAAATTGCATGAATATTTGGAGAAACGGTGCTTTAACTAATAAACAAATGAAGTTCTTTGAGACGCGAAAAAGACGATTAAGATAAACGACTCAATTTTTAGCAATTTTTTCCTTACTCGTTTGACTGCTTGGTGATTGACTCGACCAAGCAGCTAAATGATAGATCATTAACAATCATAATACATGCAACAGAGCAGAAATTATTCTTCTTAAAGCCTAAAGCTTCTTTTTTTACTAGAGTCAAAAAGTGTAAAATTGGGCTGCAAGAAAAAGAGAGGCTCTATATATGTACTTGTGTTTATGTAGAAGAATTGAAAAGTGCTTCCTCACGATCATCATCGTGTAAATCTATTATATTTATATTGCCAGACGAAGCAGACAACGTTTTATTTCCAACTTTAGGGACAAATTCTTTTCACGAATTCCCAATTTATTTTCACTCGGACGTTCGTCATGAAATTGATTTTATTCTACACAGAAAGCACAGTCTGCCACCAGACGTTCCTCGTCACGGGAGGACTTTTTACCTCCACGGTGGGCGACGTCGCGCGTTCGCTTGTCCGAACGTTTAATTCAGAGCTCGCACAGTCGGAATCGCTCCTCGACAAAGTTGCAACGCGACTATATCGTATCGTATCTCGTATCGTATCGGCGACGGCAATGAAAACGTCAAGATACACCCGAAGTGGGACAAGTATCTCGCGTCTTTCGAAGCAGGCCGGGAAGGGGGGGGGGAGGTCGAGTGGCTCGTAAACGTGACATTGCCCTCCTTCTGTAAATAAACATTCTAGCCTCGAAGTAACGTTATATTAATTATACGATAAGATATCGTAAACGATGTAATGTAACACACTTTGTAAGGAGCATTTCGACGCGAGTGATTTATATATGTATCTCTCTCAATCAGCGCGTCGCTCTACTGCACGGTCGAGCGACCGGTGTAGCTGGGCGTGGTGTCACAATATTTCCTGGTGCGGTCCCTGACCAGCTCGTCGATAGACTTGTTCTGCTGGACCGTCGTGGACAGGTTGTGAAGACGTGATGCTAGGTAGCACATGATAAAGGCCGACAGCACCAGTAGGGCACCCAGTCCCGTCGCCACGTAGAGAAAATTCCCGCAACTACCTTCGAGACCGGCCGCCACCTTGTCGTACAGATCTACGATAATGAGACGGATCTTAATTAATTAGAATTATAGCGAGATAGCGTTATGTGTCCTCGCCATATTTAGATCGCGAATGTAGATCAAGAGTCGGCTATTTTCGCGTAGAAGAGAAATAATTACTTAAATATTTTAGGCTTTGCTGGCTAAGGCTCGGTTCCACAAATGTGTAAAGATTAACTTTAATCTCGGTTCAGCTTACTGTTTATTTCTTTCTAAAATTCTTAGAAAAATATAAAGCGAATTGAATTTCAGTTAAATCGAGTTAACCGTGAATTGTGAAACCGCGGCGCGGTCCTAAAAAACAAGACCCGCGAGGATATTATGTTATATACATAAAAAAAGAAAATAGATTTCTATAAATTTCTTATTCACAAAATTTAAAATATAATTTATTATTATATTTTAAATTTCGCGTAACAATTAATAATTTATATAATTACGCAGCCTGTACGAAAAGCGATCTTCTGCCGATCCCTGATCAAGGCGCCGGATTAATATCGATGCGTTCGCTGCACAGAATTCCAGTTACGCTAATCTCTCTATCTCCATGAATCTTGTCGCAGAGCCCCGCGCGAGAGTTGATTAGAAAGATTAATCTCGATTACACGAAGACCAGGAAGATTTAAGTTCTCTATATGATTAACGCATCAAGAAATGCGAAGCGAGCTTACCATCCGGCATCATCACTGTATATTCAATGTTCTCTTTGAACTTCGTGTACGGCGTGGAGTCGTTGTACCGCTTGATTAAACGCTCGACCTTCGGAAGGAATTCGCCTAATATCTCCACGTTCGCCTCGACGGCTCTCTTCCTCCTCTTCCCGTGTCCCGATGGCTCGAAGAGATCGAGGCAGAAGTCCTGTGAAAATATAAGAGGCTAGCAGGACAGACGAGACAGCAAGAAGAATCGGATGATTTTTGTGTGTCACATCTAATTAGAGAGTTTCCGATATGTCACTGTAATAACTAACGCAAAAAGTTTCGATTATAATTAGTGTAATGTAGGCAACGTGAGGTGGATGTAGGTCGAGGCATATAGAGATTGAAATGATAGATTGAGATGCACGCTGCCGACACAGATAATGCCTGGATAATTTATCTCTCTTCAATCGACTTCTTGGCCGATCACGAGACGATTCGTATAAGATTCATATAAAATACTCGATTTTTTTTCATACTTCAGATGAATTCTTGCACGACAGGTATCGTCGATTATGTCTTTGACGTTGAATGCCACGCTACATCCGCTGTGATAACGGATTTTTGTATACACG